CTCAGATCTTTCTGTATAGTAATCCCAAAAATCTCCTGTATAAGTGGAATTATATCTTGCCAAAACACCTGTATGTTTGGACAGTCCCACCATATATGTGCCATTGTTCCCTTAAATCCACATCCCCCCCAACATAGCAGTGAGACTTCTACTCGCTGTCTGTGTGCAACACTCTGTGTCAAATACAATCTTGTTAAACATTTATAATTCATTTCAACTGTGTTCACATTCATCCCCCCATGTGTTAATATAAACATTTTATTTTTCTGTTGTTCACTCATTTTTGTTCCCAGTTCCCTTTCCCATTTCTTTAAGAATTTCTTCAATTCAATAAGAAAAAGTGCTACTAGTCTCATCTATAATATGAAACGTTCCTGGTACCCAAAATAACCTTCTCTAGTCATGCTTTACTTAAAATACACTGTATTTTAACCCAACCTTTCTCCTGTGAATTAAATGTTGAATCTACCACTCATGACAGTATCACCGAATTATAATAATTCCTAATATTGGGCCAATTTAATCCCCCTTTCTCTTTATTATTACAAAAAACTTCATACCTAATTCTCAGTTTCTTATTAGCCCATATATATTTAAGTATTAGTTTTTTTATTATCCCAAAAAAGGATCCTGAAATGTGGACTGGGAGCATATGGAATTTATACAAAATTTTTGGGACTATCACCATCTTAACCAAGTTTATACACCCAATCCAGGAGACTCTACCCCTTGAGAGTCTTCTCAGCTCATCCTTTATTTCATTTATTAATGGAATATAATTTACCTGGTATATGTTCTTTATAGAAGGGATTAGCTTTATTCCTAAGTAGCCCAATTCCTTCTCCCTCCATGTGAATGGGAAATCATTTTGTAGGGCCTGCCTCTCTTTCTTAGGAACATTAATATTCAAAATCTCTGACTTTAAAGGGTTTATTTTCAGATTTGATAGCTCTCCATATTGTTTTAGCAAACTCATTGTGTTGAGTAATGTTAATCCATGGTTCACAATATAAAACAGCATATCATCTGCATCTGCTGCTACCTTGTGATCTATCTCTCCTATCTTAATTCCTCTGATATCTACACTCTTTCTTACCGTCGCCAACAGAGGTTCCAGAGATATAACAAATAACAGCGGGGATAATGGACATCCCTGTCTGGTGCCATTATACTTCTTAAAACACCCTGGAGGGACCCATTTACCTTAACCGCTGATAGATCATTATAAAGCTTTTTTATCCACTTTAACATCTTAGTTCCTATTCCTAAGGCCTCTAGAGTATTTATCATGAATCCCCATTCTACCCTATCAAAGGCATTTTTGGCATCAATCGACAATAAAATTGTTGGTGACTTTTCTCTCTTCACATTTTGAAGAAGGAGTAGTGTTCTTAAACATTATCCCTCCCTTCCCTAACTGGGACAAAACCAACTTGATCTACATGTATCCATTCCGTCATCAACCCTTTTAACCTAGTAGCTAGTACTTTTGCAAACAATTTTGTGTCTGTATTTTATAAAGATATAGGTCTATAATTGGAGCATTGTGAACTATCCTTTCCTTCTTCCAAGATAATTGTTATATACACTTGCAGCAATTCCTCTCTTATTCCCATTCCGTCTCCTAAAGCATTCATGTATGTACAGAGTTTCGAGACCAATACTTCTTTAAATTTCTTTTGATACCCCACCATATACCCATCGGGTCCTGGGCTCTTCCCTCCTATTGTATTCTTCAGGGCCATATTAATTTCATCTTGGGATATCGGTTGTTCTAGAGATGCTAATTTTTCTTCTGATATTTTTGGCAGGTCTGCATCCTCTAAATAATCCTGCATTTTCTCCCTGATTGCTTCCTCTGTACCTCCCTGGTTCTTAGAGCTCACATCATACAGTCTGCTATAATATTTTTGGAACACATTAGCGATATCGATGGTGGCATAAACTAGTTCTCCTTTTTCATCTTTAATTTTTTGAATTTAATTCTTCGATTTCTTTTCCTTAAGTCTTTTCATCAGATATTTTCCTGGACTATTCCCCCACCGGTATCTTTCCCTCATGAACTCATGAACCTCCTCCCATATCCATCCCCCCAATTCAGTCTATCTTCTCTTTTTGTTCACTAAATGCCATTTCTCTTTTTTTCAACCTTGCACTTTCGTTAGACCCTTCTGACCACCCCACAATGACCACATTCTGCAGTTCTACTTTTTCACAAAAGTCACTAAGTTCTTAAGGGAATCTTAGCCTAGATGATTTCCCATCTTTCCACCCAATCAGACATGCCGGGAATCCCCAGTTGTATCGAATTATTTTCTCCCTCAACTGGTCTATTAAAGCTTTCAACAATCTCCTTCTGGCTAATGTCTCAGATGAGAGATCTGTGAAAACTTGCAATTTCGTATCTCTGTATTTTATTTCTGGGATCTCCCGCAATTTTTTCCATATTCTTTCTCTAGCTTCATAGTGATGGAATCGAACTATTACGTCTCTTGGGATGTCTGATGATACTCCTGGCGGGCGTCTTAATCTATGTATTCTCTCAATCTTCAAAGGATCTATGGCTAGTCTACCTATCATGGAGTTAAACACTCTTTATTTCTTCCCGGAGGTCCTCATCATGCAAATCTTCTTGCAGGCCCCGCACCCTTAGATTATTTCTTCTCTCTCTGTCTTCTTGGTCTTTCAATTTGAAGGAGAGCTTCCTCTGTTCTCTTCGCATCTCCTCCATCTGCATCTCAAAGTTAGTTATCTTCTGGGCCTAAGTCTCCATTTTCTCTTCCACTTCTTCAACCCTTGTTAACATTTGTCCAAGATCTTTGTGGATCACCGCCATTTCATTTTTTAGAAAGAGTTCTAATTTTGCAAACATTTCTACCATCTCTATTTTTGTAGGAATCTGGGATGTTCCTTTTTGTTGTTCCGAGGCCTTTTGATCTATTTTGACATCAAATGTATATTGATTCATTAGTCTAATTCTCTTCCCGTGTCCCGAATGACAATCTGGACTGCTCACTATCATATTTTCTACTTTCTTCCCGATGTTTCTCTATACTTTGTATCTCTTGGCTTTTTTCTTGTAATGGCATATATTTCTTTATTGTGCTGGTATTTCTATTAGGTTACAAGGTTTTTGTACCCCCACCTTTCACGGATCTGTTCTTCATATTTGCTAAACTTTGCCACTGATTTTCTGCTCCATGATCAGGAAATTTTATTATCACACCTGAGAAAAATCTCTCCTCCTTATGCCTCTTTTCAGATTTTTCAGTCCCAGATAGCTTGCCAACGTGTATGTTATTAACATCTGCACTTGGCACTGAGATCCCCCCCCCCCCCTCGCTATTCTTCTGTCCACCCAGCAGGGGTGTATCTACTGCAAGGCAAACAAGGCGTTTGCCTAGGGCCACAATTTTTAGGGGGGCGGCACCACCCCCTGGAAGAAGGGACCTAGTGAGCAGCGGTGCACAGAGCCATGCAGGGCCACCATCAGAGGGGTACCACTGGTACTCCTGTAGGTGACCCAGACAGCAGGATGATCGGTGTGGTGCGCGAGAGCAGTTGCAGAAGGATGCACTGTGCATCTCTCCTTCCAGCAGCTGCAAGCCAGTTTGAGGTTTCTCCCCCTCTCCCTCCGCCCCCGGCTTTCTGCTGCTGGAGGGAGAGACAGACCTGGCCAGATGGAGGGGGTGCCCTGGTGTTCCTGAGTGGCCGCTCTCCGCTGAGTTCCTTCCCCCACCCGCACTCAGAGTTAGGACCAGGGGCAAGCCTGGAGCAAGGAGAGAAGAAGTGGTGGAGAGGAAAAAGCCCGGAGGTGAGCTGTGTTGTGTTCTCTGGGCTCTCCTTCCTGTTGTCCATCCAGCACATGATACATGATCACTGACAGATCATATGGGACTGCGTACACACAGTATGATTGCCACCCCCTGCCCACATTTCCTGTTGCCCGGAGATCAGCAGCCCTTGGAGAAGGTGGGGGGGGGGGGTAATCATACTGCGTGTGTAGTCCCATACGATCTGAGAGAGGGAAGGAGAGAGAGAGGGAAGAGAGAGAAGAGAAAGAGAGGGAAAAAAGAGGGGGGAGAGAGGGAAGAGAAGAGAGAGAGAGGAAAGAGAGGGAAGAGAGAGAGAGGGGGGGGGGGGAAGGGGGAGAGAGAGAGGGGGGAAGAGAGAGAGAGAGCAGAGAAGAGAGAGAAAGAGAGGGAAGAGAGAGAAAGTGGGAAGAGAGAGAGAGAGAGAGAGGGAATAGATAGAGAGGAGAGAGAGGGGGGAAAGAGAGAGAGAGAAGAGAGAGGGGGGGTGAGAGAAAGAGAGGGAACAGAGAGAAAGAGTAGAGAGAGAGGAAGAGAGAGAGTGGGAAGAGAGAGAGTGAGAGAGAACAGAGGGAAGAGAGAAAGACAGAGAAAGAGGGAAGAGAGAGGGAGAGAGAGAGAAGAGATGGAGAGAGAATCATATATACATACACACACTTATTGAACTCTCTCGTGGATGGGGGGGAGGCGCAAAATTTTTGTGTTGCCTAGGGCAGTACAAAATCTAAATACACCACTGCCACGTAGCCCCACTGTTCAAGGTCAAGTGTGTTGCCATCGGAGTGATTAGAAGCTTGTATCCAATGCTTCAGGTCAAATGAGGAGATTAGACTAGGAAGTTTAGAAGTAGTAGGAGTGTTGGTATTAACAGGGCTGTTGAAATCACCGAGAATTATTATGGGAATTTCAGAAGTGTGAAAGTAGAGGCAGAGAATTCACCAAGGAAAGTTGATACTGGTCCACAGCGGTGGTAGATCACAACAATTCTTAACCACCTCCTGCCCGCCATATAGTAATATGACGGACGCAAGGTGGTTCTCTCGTTCTGGGAGGATGTCATATGATGTCCTCCCATTCTAACCACGCATGCACAGTTCCCGGGAGCACGCAGCGCTGCGATCGGCGGTGCGCTGTGTCCCTCGGACACAGCGGATCACCGATTCACGGAAAGAGCTGAAGATGTTGGCTCGGTCATGTGATCAGCTGTGTCCAATCACAGCTGATCACATGTAAACAGGGAAATGCCGGTTATCGCCATTTCTCTCCCCACGAGCTGTCAGGCTGACAAATCGTGAGGAGAGGAGAGCGGGTAATCGGCATTCCTCGGAGGGGACATGTACACAGATCATCAGAGCACTGATGATCAGTGTACCCTGATGATCTGTGTAGCCCCAGCAGTGCCACCTGTCAGTGTCCATCAGTGCCAGCTCTCAGTGCTCATCCATGCCACCTGCCAGTGCCCATCAGTGCCACATTTCCATGCCACATCAATGCCACATATCAGTGCCCATCTGAGCTGCCTTGCAGTGTCACCCATCAGTGCCAATCAGTGCCACCTATCAGTGCCAGTCAGTGCCCGTCAGTGCCGCCTATCAGTGCCGCCTAACAGTGCCAGTCAGTGCTACCTATCAGTGCCGCCTATCAGTGCCATATATGAGTGCTGCCTTTCAGTGCCCATCAGTGATGCCTGTCAATGCCCATCAGTGCCACCTACCAGTGCCTCCTCATCAGTGCCTATAAGTGCCACCTATCAGTGTCCATCAGTTTAGCCTATCAGTGCCCATCACTGCAGCCTCATTAGCGCACATCAGTGAAGGAGAAAAATCACTTATTTACAAAATTTTATAACAAAAACTAAGAAAAAACTTTTTTTCTTTCAAAATTTTCAGTGGTTTTTGGTTTGTTTAAGAAAAAATAAAAAACCCAGCGGTGATTAAATATGACCAAAATAAAGCTCTATCTGTCACAAAAAAAATGATAAAAATTTCATATGGATACAGTGTTGCATGACCGCGCAATTGTCATTCAAAGTGCAACAGCGCTGAAAGCTGGAAATTGGCCTGGGCAGGAAGGAGGTATAAGTGCCCTGTAGGCTAGTGGTTAAAAAAATTGGGAAAATAGATGTATACAGTGAACTTCAAACGATGAGAGGTAGGAGAGAAAAGAACATGAAAGGTGCTGTGTGGGGATCGGAGGATTCCCACTCCCCCTCCCTTGCGTCCACTGTGTATAAGGGAGTGAATCCAGAGGAGGCCACCATGGGAGGGGGAAGCAGGAGAAGCAGTGTTAGATTCATGAAGCCAGGTTTTTGTGACAGCAAGTAGATTAAAGGAGTTAATGACAAAAAGGTCCTGAACAGAGGTGAGTTTGTTGCAGACAGAGCGAGCATTCAAGAGGGCACAGAAGTAGGGGAGGCTGGATTTGAGAAGGAATGTAAATTAAATTGTGCGGATTGTGGCTGCTGCCAGAGGGTGTAGGGTGATGGGTATGCTGGATACAGTCAAATAAAGGAGGCCCAGGGTTTAGAGATATATCTCCAGAGGTTAGGAGAAGTAGAAGAGTGAGGAAGGTAATATGAGAGTGCGATTTATAAGGGACATGTCTCAGCATCCTGGGGGTTTTATTAGCTATGAGATTAGAAGTAGGACAAGATGAACACAGTAATAAGTGGACAGAAGTTAGGGTGATATATACAGATTGTGGGGTGGAGAAGAGGGGTGAAGGAAACAGAGTTTAAGGAGAGGATACAACTGTGAAAAGGAGAGGTAGAGAGCGCATGTTACAGAGAGGAAGGAGAGCTGAATCGGGAAACAAGGTCACCTCCAGTCTGGTGTTTTGCAAAGTAGCTTGCTGTAGATGTTTGCTTCAAGCAATTGCTGAAGTGTCACTTAATTAGCAAATGCCACTTTACTGGAAGAACCCCAACATGTGTCCCCCATAAAGGTGATCTTGTTTTATACTGTGGTGAGTGTGGATGGAATTTGCCAAATAATTAGGAGTTAATATCTGGCACACAGCTATTACAACAAATTTTTCACACCACAATCAAACTGCAAGAGGACAGGATTATAAAGATGTAAGTTCAGCCATAATTTTGGTAAGAGTCTTGAAAACAAAATAAACATTACAATAACGTGAGCAGAGTTACAGATGGTGTGGAGCAGCTGCAACATAAACGCAAGGTATGCCATAAAGACATTGAGAACAGTCATTCTGTCGTTCAGTTAGGGGTGGATGTGAAGCAGCAGCAACATAAATGCAAGGTATACCATAAAGAGATTGAGAATAGTCAGTCTGTGTTCAGTTAGGGGTGGATGTGAAGTAGCAGCACCATAAATACAAGATTTGCCATAAAGATATTGAGAGCAGTCAGTCTGTGTTCAGTTTAAGGTGTATGTGAAGCAGCAGCAACATAAATGCAAAGTTTACCTGTGAAGGGAGAGAAGAGATGTTCGGGATGAGCAAGAGCATAAGTGCCATTTAATTAGTGAACTCTGCTTTTTTGGAAGAACCCTAACATGCATCCCCCTGGCATGTGTCCCTTGGCTATCTAGACCAGCGTTTTTCAACCACTGTGCCGCGGCACACTAGTGTGCCGTGAGATATTGTCTGGTGTGCCGTGGGAAAAATTCCAATTTCATCTGTAACATGTGGCTTCGGCTCACAAATAGACCAATCATTAGAATCTAATGATTCAGTGGTCGGCAAGCCGCGGCTCGCGAGCCACATGCGGCTCTTTACCCAGTCTAATGCGGCTCTTCTGTGTGCCGGGCGCCTGCTCCCCTCCCTCCTCTCGGTCGGCCGCTCCCCTGCCTCCTCTCGGTTGGCAGCCCCAAAAGTCCGCGCGGACCTTTTAATCCGGCTTGCGGATGTGGCTGTCAGGATGTGTGTAGGCGGGGCAGCGTGCCGAACGTGAGGGGAGGGGAGCTAGGCTCCTCTCACAGTCCGCCCTGAAGACCCGAACGGCGCGGGAAGACAGCGAGAGGAACGCAAAAGGTAAGTGAATTGACACGGGGGACTTGGCTTACTAGAAGGGGGGGGGGGGGAATAGTACTGTGGGGGATGAAATACTATATGAGGGATGAATTACTTTATGAGGGATGAAATACTATATGGGGGGATGAAATACTATATGGGGGATGAATTACTATATCAGGGATGAATTACTATATGAGGGATGAAATACTATATGGGGGGATGAAATACTATATGGGGGGATGAAATACTATATGGGGGGATGAATTACTATATGAGGGATGAAATACTATATGGGGGGATGAAATACTATATGAGGGATGAAATTACTATATGAGGGATGAATTACTGTATGAGGGATGAAATACTATATGGGGGATGAAATACTATATGAGGGATGAAATACTATATGAGGGGATGAAATACTATATGGGGGGATGAAATACTATATGGGGGATGAAATACTATATGAGGGATGAAATACTATATGAGGGATGAAATACTATATGAGGGATGAATTACTATATGAGGGATGAAATACTATATGGGGGGATGAAATACTATATGGGGGGATGAAATACTATATGGGGGGATGAAATACTATATGAGGGATTACTATGGGGGATGAATTACTATATGGAGGATGAATTACTATATGGGGGATTAATTACTATGCTTACTATGGGGGAATATTACTATACTTACTATGGATGACACATACACATCATTCATCTATGGTCCGGCCCCCGGGTCCAATTATAAAATACTTTATTATTTCATAATAAAGTAATTATAAAATAATTTCTTTGTGTTTGATTCCTATTCAAGAGAATTACTTTATATATAGTCAATATAGGCACAGAGGTAAATTTTTTTAACATTTTCTAATGGTGGTGTGCCTCGTGATTTTTTTCATGAAAAAAGTGTGCCTTTGCACAAAAAAGGTTGAAAAACACTGATCTAGACGACCTTCTCCTGAAGGATTCCTCTTTCTTCACAGGACAATTCAGATCTTCTTTTGGCTAGGTGATCAATTTCAACAAATCTGCTCTCCAGCCTTTCCTTTGCCATGGGTCCTTCATCCAGATATCTTCAATCTGATATGCCAAAAATGAGGGATATCAGATGCAGACATCCTAGCTTCCAGATTCAACAACAAACTGTCTGTTACTGGAACCAAGGATCCTCTAGCGCTAGCATCTAATCCCCTGGGCTTAGTTCAGGCTAATTTACACCTTCCCTCCAGTGCAAAATCTACCTTGTCTGCTAAGAACAATAGAGCAAACAATAAAAATGGTGATTCTAATTGCACTAAATTGGCCCAGACGAACCTGGTGTACAGACATATTCAGACTTTTGGCAGACAACCCCTGGCCTCTTCCAAACAGGTCAGATGAGCTGTCCCAAGGCCCTCTATTCCACCTTGCCTGGTATTAAAAGATGGAGAAAGTTTCGAGTCAGTGATTCCTACATTCCCAAGAGCAATAAAATCCTCTTCCAGGAAAATATTGCACCTAAGAATTATTTTTGTATTTTGTGAAAACAGTCCAAGAGAGTACTTTATACCACACAGTCTGACCTTCCTACAAGCAGGTCTTAACCAGAAATTGCCTTTAACCCCTTGGCTCCGACACATCCTGGCCCTTTAAGGGGTTTGAGATGCCGGGACGCAGGGTGGGGGTTTAGGGTTATGTGACTGCCATGATTGGCTGTCACAGTGGTCATATGAATGGAAAGGTCCTGATCGCAAGTAGTGATTGGGACCGTTCCGTGAGGCGCCTGAAATGTGCCAGGAGTGTGCACAGCGCACACTCTTGACACGTGTTTCTTTTGGGTATGCAAATATGCGGCCTCTTAGCATCAAGGCCCAGCCGCCAAGAGGCTGCATATTTGTGTATGTTCAGCACCAACAGGTTAAGTACTCTTAAAGGTCAGATCTTTTATCCATTCTTTTCCAAAGGCCTTTGGCTTTGCTCTCCCTTCTAAGAATCTTTCTTCAAGTTGTATCTCATATTAAACCTCCCTTGCAGCATCCTGACCCTCCTTGGAATATCAATTTGGTTCTCTCTGTCCAGCTGAAACTACCCTTTGAACCCATTAGGGATAGCCCCATAGAGGATCTCTCATGCAAAGTAGTCTTTTTGGTTGAGATCATGTTTGCTAGATGTTTCTGAACCGGTGTCCCTTAGCTGTTTTGTTACGGTTTTGGGGTTGTATTCGATACGTGAAAAGAGAGATCACACAAATACTTATAAGTATATCATTAAGTACAAGTAATGACAGATACAGATAACAATAAAGAAAATATAACAAGAATACTTAACTAAAGATGCTCCACTATGGGTCCCTCCAATTATATGGCATGGCACAGAGGTGGCCACAGACGCTTGCTTAACACTGCTCTGAGATGAGACAAATATTTTCAGTTTAGCTGTGTGTTATATACAGGACTTGTGTATAAGGAATCGACAACCCACCCCCCTTGCAAACAACATGATGATCTTCTAAGGGAAATGGCACATTCCTAAAAGGAGAGTGGGCTGGCTTGTCAATTCCTTTGTTATTTAAGGTAATCAGACTTTGTCCTCGTATAGGCCTTTAACCAAGGCTTGGAGGCATTCTTAAACAGTGAGCCATAATATTAATAAGGAAATATGTAATATGCAATTTCCCTATCACCTGTAAAGAGCCTTTACTCATATTTCACAATGGTACAGTTTTCTTGTGCTCAAGGCCACCCTTTCTCTTCAAGGGGGTTTCAGCATTTCACCTCAATGAGGATATTGTCCTTCCATCCTTATGCCTTGCCCCTAAGCATCTAAAGGAAATCTCTTTACATTGCCTGGATGCAGTCATAGCCATTGGAGTATACCTCAAGGCTACTGTTCTAATTAGAAGGATGGATTCCCTGTTGGTCCTGTTCTCGAGACCTTTCAAGGGACACACTGCTTCAAAATCCACCATTGCACAGTAGATACAAAATATGATTGCAAGAGCTTACAGTCTCAAAGAGAAATCCACTGCTGCACTATTACATACCTATTCCACCACAACAATAGCAGTTTCCTAGGCATTTTGGCACTGAGCCTTTGTAGCCCAGTGTACGGCTGCCACCTGATCTTCTGTTCATACCTTTTTAAAGTTTTATCAGATGGATGTCCAATTTTAGGCTGATGTAGCTTTTGGTTGCAAGGTTTTGATTGGATCTCTGAGATTGGATCCTCTGACCATTGTTGTTGGGCCTGTTGGCACAATTTTGTTTGACTCAGGCTTGCCCACCACAAAGCATGTGCTTAGTTTCAGAGAATTTTACCCAGGATAACTTGCCATTTGGCAGTTTCTGGATTTCATTCACTTCTCAGAGGTCTGCACTTTACTTCAACTGCTTCCTAACATCTTTCCATGGATGCATCAATTCCAAGTGGGTACCACAGAGCCTGTACCATACTCCACCAGCACAGCTCAACATGTCACTTCACTCCCAGTGACATTACGAGACTCCTCCCTGAGACAGAGATAATCTCTTCACATGGTTCCGGGATTATCTATTCTCAAGGCCTCTCAATCACTATTCCTCTTACGTGACCTCTCAGGTCACGTACTTAGTTTACCATATAAACTAAACTGCAAAGCCATACAAAAAGGCGATACATCTACTTAATTGCTCTCTGTCCCATCCAATAGATATAGATGTGGGATTAAACCAAAAAAACTAATTAACAAAAAAATGTACAGCTGTAAAGAACAGACTGTATGTAGTCAGTAATCAATAAATTTGTTTACTGTTCTGACGAAGTCAACTTAGTGTCGTCATCACGTCCGTAAATTATGTATGCAAGTGTCCACATGATGGAAATAGCAAGGCCAGATGGAGCCTGATGCACGATGCACACCATACCAGAGTAACTGCTATCCTTTCTACCTACATTGCACCCACCCCACACGCCAAAGTCCTCGGTGTCACCCTGGACTCAAACCTTTCCTTCCAACCTCATGTCCAATCACTTTCAAAGTCATGCAGGCTCCACCTTCGCAACATCTCCAAGATACGTACGTTCCTCACCTCAGACTCTACTAAACAACCCGTACACTCCCTGATTATCTCACGCCTGGACTACTGCAACTCCCTTCTCACTGGCCTACCCAAACAAATGCTATCCCCACTCCAGTCTATCCTGAACTCAGCGGCTAGACTTATCCACCTCACCAACCGCTCCACTTCTGCCACCCCCCTCTGCCAATCCCTTCACTGGCTCCCGACTACCCAACGCATTAATTTCAAACTACTAACTCTGACATACAAAGCCATTCACAAAGCTGCCCCAAACTACCTAACCGACCTGATACCCAAATACCACCCTACCCGTGCCCTTCGCTCCTCATAGGACCTCCTACTCTCCAGCTCCCTAGTCTCCTCCCACGCCCGACTGCAGGACTTCTCCAGGACTTCCCCATCCTCTGGAACTCCCTACCCTAATCCATCAGACTGTCACCTACCCTCCTCACCTTCAGGCGCACCCTAAAAAACCCATCTCTTCAGGGAAGCCTACCCCACCCTCACCTAACAACCGATCTCCTCCACTCCTCCTACCATTCCATCCCCCACAGCCACCTCCTCCTGTACCACTATCCCCTCCCTCCTAGAATGTAAGCTCGAAAGAGCAGGGCCCTCGAACCCCTCGTGTATTGTATTGTACTGTTTTTTCTCATGTTCTGTCCCCCACGCTAATGTACAGCGCTGAGCAAACCCTTTGGCGCTATATAAACACTGTATAATAATAATAATAATATTTTTAAGGCAGCACCTCTAAGGAGCCTTACCTTGGAAATGAAGAACGATGAACAGAGAGATCGAACTTCGCATTGCAACGATTGGAGGTGGCAGTAAGTGACTGAGCTATGTATACTGACGAGGTCGGATATCCCTTAATTTGCTAGACACCATAATATATCTCTCTCCCTTGTTCAGAGGACATTTAGGACTCTAACAATACAATTATATGTCCTTATTGTTTGAGCTGCTATCCCCTATCGAACTATCAAACCTACTGTCTATGGATAAGTTACAATCATTCTGCCATAGTGGCAGTTACTGAATCCACGTACCATTTTGCACTGTGCATAGAATAGTTCTACTTATTGGTTTCTGTTGCTTCACATATTTATTACTATATGGAACTTGGTACCTATGATGGAAGGTGGTTATTCTGAATAGCAACTCCATGGTGTCTTTGATTCAGTCTACATTTGCACTGCAATCCAGTCATGGACTTTCAACATGGATATATTTATGACAACTACTGTATGTATCATGTTGAGCATTTAAACAGTATGATTATCAATATGGTTGAACTACTTGCATTAGGTGAATTTCGGTGATCAGCCACGATTGGAAGCAGCCTATGGGAGGATTTATAGACCCCACTGAGGGGCATTTAGTTCAGGTTCATTACTTATCCTCAGCGACCCTAGTCTACCTTTCACATTGTCTTACACATTATGCTGGTCTTTGTCATATTATGAGACTTTGTGATTGTATTAGATGATATTACTCTACATGATCTTCCATTTATGACATGCATCTAAACACGGTTGGCCTGCATTACTGACCACTATCATGCGTTATAGTACGGACAAGTTCTTTTAATTCACGATGACTGGTGTTTGTCTGTCCCTTCTTTTCAAGGTCATGTTCTCACTAATATCATTTTATAGATATATAATAAAGTTTTGTAAATAATTTTCATAAAAACTACTCTGCATGGGTATTATTGATTACCGGCTGTATACAGCATGTTCTTTACAGCTGTACTTTTTTTGTTAATCACGTACTTAGTTTACACTGTGCCATGATGTCAGTCCCTGTATGTGGGGCACTAATCACTAGGGAGAGGGTTGGGCTGGCAAATCCTCTTATCACCCGGGCCTTCTGTCACTCAAGCCAAGTCACCATGACTACCCGCTGGTTGCTTTAGCACCCAACATTACTACATTAAAACACTCCTATTAATAATGACATGTATAAATGTTAAAATAATAAGTGATCATACCAACAACTTTGGTATAATACTCTCAAATTCCAATGCATTTTGAGACACTGTTCAAAGAAACAGAGATGGTACAAAAAACCCAAGGGATCACTGAACATTGATGATAAAAACACATCCCACTAGGCCCTAGTGATTAGGGGATCACTCAGCCACTACTGTGCAGCAGGTCCAGGAACATCTTGCTTGACAGGATCACAGGAGCCATTCTGCAGATATTGAAGCCGTTCAACAGTAAAAAGATTGCAGGCTGGGGTAATGGAAATATGCAAATCCAACGTTGTGCAGCAATTTGAAGGAATTAGTGCCCATAGGTTACAATGCTGCCCCTGTCAGATACCAAAGAAAAAACCTTGGGGATTTCACATAGGATATGACTGACAGCAGTGAGAGCCAATGGCTGCTGCTGCTCTCTGTGAAGCATGGTAATCCAGCAAGAGAGAGCAGTAGATGGGCACAGCACTACATCAATTGAAGACTCAAGTAGGAGCAGGGGTGGACTGACCATTTGGAAAATCGGGCGCTGCCCGAGGACCGGGGGCCAGTAGGGGGCCCCATGAGTTGCCCCTGGTACCTTTTTCATAGGCTTTTCTGAGTTTGGGCAAGGACACAGGGGCCCCATGATCCCCTACTGCCCGGGGGGGCCCCATGAGTTGTCAGTCCGCCCCTGAGTAGGAGTTTAGGGAAAGGGGTTGGGTGCAGAAAGTTGAAGGTTTTTCACCTTAAGGGCCAGTTCACACTACAAAAATGCACTCTGGATACATTGCGGATACATTTTTGCTTACAGTGCACACCACACGCAGTTCCGATGCAGTTTTGATGCAGTGTGCCATGTTCCAGTATGGCTCTGTGCAGAAAAAATGCAGCATGTTCTATTTTTTTTCTGCACCGGAAACTGACTGCACTGGTGTGAACCAGGGTCATTGGAATACATGGAAAACACTGTGCATGCATTTTTGATGCAGAAAAAAATCTGCTGATGCTGAACAACTCTGCTGACGCTGGACAACTCTGATGACAGTATGTGAACAAAAAAAAATAAACATTTAAAAAAAAAAAAAAAAAAAAAAAAAAAATATATATATATATATATATATATATATATAATGTATTTATTTATTTCTTTTATGTACTGTCACCAGTCAGTATCCCTGATCACCTCCACACCCTTCATATGATGACACTGTACTGCACTGGTGACAGTATGTTAAAAAAAAAAGTGAAAAACAATTTTTATTTCATTTCCGAAAAACTGTGACAAAAAAATTACATCTTCAAAAAACTCGCCATGCCTCTTACAAAATACCTTGTCTGTCTGCTTTGCAAAAAGGGGTCATTTGGGGGGTATTTGTACTGTCCTGGCAGTTAGAGCCTCAAGAAATTAGAGGCGGTCAGTACATCAGGATTGATTAATTTTCAAGTATATATACCAGGCATCACTAAGTGGCAGACCACGGTCAATGTCCGGACTGAGTCAATGTCCTATCTAGGCCGCGGCAGTACCGCCATTTAGTATCCATTCTGCCTAGAGCTGTCACTACCACTGCTGTCATTCTCATTCTCACAGAGCTGACAGCGGTAGGCAGGAGAGCTCTGAATGGAGGGCGGGGGCTGTCTGGGTTAACTGCTTTCCCGCCACCCTATAGCAGATATACTGCTACAGGGCGGCAGGGGTGCGCGAAATCACGTATATATACATGTGATTTTGCATTACTGTGTAGGGGGCACTCACGAGCCTTGGCTGTCAATCACTGGGTCCCGGCCGGTGATTACTCGCTGGCACCTGGTGATCATGGGGAGCATTACAGACAGAGGAAGAGAACTGTATGCAAACAATACAGTTCTCTCCCCTGTCAGCTCCTGGACACTACTTTGCATGGCTTTGCATAGTAGAGCCATGCAAAGCATTGTCCTTACAGTGTAATGCACTAACACAGCCCACAGTAAAACAGCACACAGTTAACCTTTTTGATCGCCCCATATGTTAACCCCTTCCTGCCCAGTGTCATTAGCACAGTGCCAGTGCTTTTCATTAGCACCGATCACTTTATTGGTGTTACTGGGGATGTCAGTGACACCAAGTCAGTTCCCCCCCAATGTCAGTCCGCTATAAGTCGCTGATCGCAGCCATTACTAGTAACAAAAAAAAAAAAAATTCCAGTATATATACCTCCATTTGTAAAAGCTATAACTTTCATGTAAACCAATTAATTTACATGTATTGGAATTTTTTTTCTAGCAAAGACATGTAGCAGAATACATTTTGGCCTAAATTTATGATGAAATTTGACTTTTAAATTTTTTTTTACTGGACATGTTTAATTGCAAAAAGCCAGAAAGTTTTTTTTTCACAAAATTGTGGACTTTATTTTTTATTGCACAGAAAATAAAAAACGAACAGGCAATCCAATACCACTGAAAGAGAGCTCTATTCCTGGGAGAAAAGGGATGTGAATTGAATTTGGGTGCAGTGTTGCATGACCGCGCAATTGTCAGGTAAAGTAATATAGCGCCGTAACGCAAAAAATGGCCTGGTCAGGAAAGGGGGTAGATCCTCTGGAGTGGCAAGTGGTTCAAGCAGGTCTGCTAGGATGCAGAGCAATGCACTATTTATCTTTCAAAAGTGTTTCACAGTGCTTTCGTCCAATTTCTAAATTGGTGCATTTTTAAATTTCAAAAGCCAGTATAAAAGAATAGTAAAGGTAAAAAAAAAGCACTTGTGGGTTTAACTAAATTTTTTTTTTTTTTTTTAATAATGCTCCTTTAAGGAGGTGTGGCAGGGGGTGTGTCCTATGACAACATACATATGCTAATAGGTGTCCCTCTTTCCCATCTAAAAAAGGTGGGAGGTATGCGTTTTGCATGCGGTTTGAACTATACATGAATGCATAGCATGTTCCTGTGCGATTTTGATGTGGGCATGGTGTGAACTGGCCCTAAATGCACCTAAGCACTAGCCGCGTTTAGCATTTGGGTGTTTATTCATTTCAATGACAAGCTCTCTGGCTAATGAAATGAATAAAAGTGCAAGCACTAAAACACGGTACTGTGTTTACATGTGTTTTTCCTTCGTTTAGCGTTTTTCTGCTGTTAGTCACTGGTCACTCCACTACAATTTAAAATCAAAAAATTTGTGTTCAATTTCAGGACAATTTCTGAAGACTTTATTGCTGCTTGTGAAGATTTTCAATGATTTCTTGCAATTTGCAGTGCGATTTCTATTATATTCTATGTGAAATTGCAACAAAACTGCAGAAAAAGTAATGCAAGAACTACTTTGGAAATTGCTCTGCAGCAAATCGCGAATGTTAAGAAAATGACATTCACTAGATGCGATTTCAGGTGCAATTTCAATTCCCAAATCGCACCTGAAATTGCATCGGTATGATTTATTGTCTAGGGGTGTTCCAGTGTGCATGTATCCTCAAGAAGGTGAACCTAGAAGCTGATTTGAATGTAAACAACACAGAGCTGTGTCCTGTCATCAGGGATGTCCTGGTTTTTGTTTCCCTGCAAAGCAGGAGATAAAAATGGGTGCATTCCTTAGTAAAAACAGCACACAGTGGATGAACCAAGCACTGTTAGGCACACAGGTAACCCTTTGATTGCCCCCAGATGTTAACTCCTTTCCAGCTAGTGTCATTAGTACAGTGCCAATGTATATTATTAGCACTGATCACTGTATTAGTGTCACTGGTTCCCACAAAATGTCAGTCAGCGTCACATAGCTATACTATCACAGTCCCCGCTATAAGTTGTTAGACGCTATAACTTTTGTGCAAACCAATCAGTATACACTTACTGAGATTTTTTTTTTTACCAAAGACTTGTAGCAGAATACATATTGGCCTACATTTATGAAGATGTTTTTTTAAAACATTTTTATTATTGAATATGTTTTAGGGCCGGTTCACACCATAGAAACGCATTCCAGATACGTTCTGGATGCGTTTTCACATGTTCCGGATCATTTTTTCCCCTCTTTTCTTTAATTTAACCACTTACTAACCGCGCTATAGCCGAATGATGGCTACAGCATGGTTGTCCAGTTCTGGAAGGGTGTCACATGATGTCCTCCCAGAACGTGCCCTCCCTTGTTCCCGACGATCTCCGTGATCTCATTGTCCTACAGCCACAGCTGATCATATGCTGAGGTAAAAGGCCAATCACAACGGACTTTTACCACGTGACCAGCTGTGTGCAATGACACAGCAGATCACAAAGTAAACACAGTTGCCGGTTATCGGCAGCACTTTCCTCATGCTGTCACATTGTGAGGAAAGTACTGGCAATAACTGGTAAATGACACAGAGGACATCTGAACAGATCATCAGGGCACTGATGATCAGTGCCTCCCAGCAGTGCCACCCATCAGTGCTGCTCAGCAGTTGCGTCCATCAGTGTCGCCAATCTGTGCCGCCTATCAGTGACCATCATTGCTGCATATCAGTGCAGCATCATCAGTCCCTCCTCATCAATGCCCACTAGTGCCACCTCATCAGTGCTGCCTATCCATGCCACCTCATCGGTGCCCATCAGTGCTGCAAATTTGTGCCACCTCATCAGTGCTGCCTATGCGTGCCACCTCATCAGTGCTGCAAATTTGTGCCACCTCTTCAGTGCCCATCATAAAAGAAGAAAAACCCAGTGGTGATGAAATACCACCAAAGAAAACTTTGTGTAATAAAAAAAAAAAAAAAATTTTATTTAGGTAGTGTTGCATGACCGTGCAGGTGTCAGGTAAAGTAGCGCAGTGCCAAATAGCAAAAAATTGCCTGGTCATGAAGAGGGTAATTGGTTAAATAAGTTAATGTAGTAAACTTTTCTTATATTTGTTTTGCATAAATCTGGTCTCTTTAATTTGTGTTTCTTGTGGCAAAAGACTCCCACTGAGCCTTTTCCTGGGCACAGCTCCCTTTCCCTCTATTACACGCATCAACTCTATGGTGACTGTTGCCTAGCAGCACTCTTTCTCGTCCTAGCGAGGAAGTGACGTAATGGCGAAACTGGAAGAAGCCGGAAAGTCCCGGATGTGAGTGCCGCCTGTGGGTCGCGACACCGCGTGACTGAATTATCGTGATAGGAGAGGAGTTAGGAGTTGGGTGCGGCCTGGTGGTGTCTTGAGGAGGAAGAGAGGTATGTAACGAGCTGCGAGGGTTGGTACCGGGGGAAAGCGGAGTCTGGGCGGACAACATGGAGGGAATACCAGCTGGGCTAATAGATGCTACTGTTAGCAGTAGGGTGTCGTCAGAACGTTGCCATGGTCATACAGAGACATGCTATACCCCGGGGGAAGCACTGTGCTCTGCTCGGGGCTCAGAAGACAGCCATGTGCTCATGTATGGCCAGACAAGTTGTGGTGCCCAGCACTAAACCCTGCCAGCTCTGTGACTGCTCTATAACAAAGTACGACCGATACTGTTGAAGTGTTAGTGATCCCACTCGGTTCCTTTCACCTCCAGGTAAGTGTATAATAAAGTAACCTGTAGGTAGAAGGAATATCTCCTAAGGTGCCCCATGTAGGGTTTACTACAGCCGGTGCATGCACTCTGAAGAAGTGGCGTTCCCGTGTCGTCGGTCCTTCAGAGCACTGTGCCATGTCCAGAGATTCCCATGCAGATGCGTGGGAGTGACATTGTTTTGCCAGACAGATGACCGGAGCTCGCGAACCCACAGTTGAAGATGGAAGCCTCTACAGCAGTGACTTTGTGCTGCTGGAGGGCTTAATTTTCTGGTAAAGTTTACATAATGTGCTAGTATGCCATGCATGATGCACATTTTGTCTTTACTTTGCAGGGGATTTTTTAAGGACGTGGTTTACTACCGCTTTAACCTCTTCACACTGGCCGCGCACAAATGTGCGGCCTCTCGGCGTCTGGGCCTAGACGCCGAGCGGCCGCACATTTGCATACAATTAACAAAAAACATGTGCTGAGAGGGCGCGCTCCCAGCACACGTCTGCTACTCACGGAAAGGTCCCGGTCTGCTCTATCGATCGGGACCTTTCCTGAACATGTGACCGCCGTGACGACGCGCCACGGCGGTCACATGATCCCTAAACGCCTCCCCACCTCCCGGCTTCTGAAACTCTTAAAGGGCTGGGAGGCGCGGGCGGGAAGGGGTTAATCAGGGCTAAAGTATAGAACTAAATCAAATTGCCAGGGATTGAGATAATACAGCTGAGGACCAGGGGTTTTCTGGATTACATAGATCCATATAGATATATGTTGCCAATAGTATTGGGGCTCCTGACTTTACACGCACATGAACTTTAAAGGCTTCCCAGTCTTAGTCCGTAGGGTTCAATATTGAGTTGGCCAAACCTTTGCAGCCGAAACAGCTTCAACTCTTCTGGGAAGGCTGTCCACAAGGTTTAGGAGTGTGTTTATGGGAATGTTTGACGAGAAGGCCTGGCTCGCAGTCTCGCTCTAATTCATCCCAAAGGTGTTCTGTCGTGTTTAGGTCAGGACTCTGTGTAGGCCAGTCAAGTTCCTCCACCCCAAACTCGCCATGTCTTTATGGACCTTGCTTTTGTACACTGGTGCGCATTCATGTTAGAACAGGAAGGGTCCGTCCTCAAACTGTTCCATAAAGTTGGGAGCATGAAATTGTCCAAAATGTCTTGGTATGCTGACGCCTTAAGAGTTCCCTTCACTGGAACTAAGGGGCCAAGCCCAACCCCTGAAAAACAACCCCACATCATAATCCCCCCTCCACCAAACTTTACCCTTGGCACAATGCAGTCAAGCAAGTACCATTCTCCTGGCAACCGCCAAACCCAGACACATCCATCGGATTGCCAGACAGAGAAGCGTGATTCGTCACTTTAGAGAACACGTCTCCACTGCTCTAGAGTTCAGTGGCGGCGTGCTTTACACCACTGCATCCGACACTTTGCATTGCATTTTGTGAAGTAAGGCCTGGATCCAGCTGCTCGGTCACGGAAACCCATTCCATGAAGTTCTCTACACACTGTTGTGCTAATCTGAAGGCCACATGAAGTTTGGAGGTTTTTAGCTATTGACTCTGCAGACAGTTGTTGACCATTGCGCACTGTGGGCTTCAGCATGTGCTGATCCCGATCTGTAATTTTACATGGCCTACCACTTCGTGGCTGAGTTGTTGTTCCCAGTTGCTTCCACTTTGTTACAATACCACTGACAGTTGACCATGGAATATTTAGTAGCAAGGAAATTTCACAGATGGGCTTCTTGCACAGGTGACAACCTATCACAGTACCACGCTTGAATTCACTGAGATCCTGAGAGTGACCCATTCTTTCACCAATGTTTGTAGAAGCAGTCTGCATGCCTGGGTGCTTGATTTTATACACCTGTGGCCATAGAGGTGATTGGAACACCTGAATCCAATGATTTGGAGGGGTCGGATGTTCGATTGCTATCGCCCGACGCCCGGGACATAAAGTTTTGGGCACCAGTCAGGTAGTTTTTTTTTTCTTCTACCTTTAGCCCCGCTGCGGGCAAGCAGTGGGCTCACCTGTCAGGTGGAAGCATTCGAACTGCTTCCACACAGTGCACCACATTACATTCAGTGGAGCACAAAGAAGACCCTTGATGCCTCAATAAAGAGAACCTGTCACCAAAAAATCATCACATAGGAGACTTTGTCCCCTATGTGATGAGAAAAAAAAAAAAATGAAAGTTACACCCAAGCACATACCATCCCCCTACCAAAAAAAATTGAGGCCCTCCAAATGTACAAACGTAAAAGCACACGCTGGGGCGCTTGCGTATGAAAATGTTGATTGCGATACACATGTCACTTATTGCCGCGCGCACACCAGAATGAGAGCAATAATTCTAGCACCAGACCTCCTCCATAACGCTAATGACCTATAAGGAGCTTTAAAAGTGTCACCTATAGAAAATATAGGGTACTGAAGTTCGTCGCCATTTCACGAGCACACACAAATTTAAGGTTTGACAAGTTGGATATCTATTTACTCTGTGCAGCCTGATCTTTTCTATTTTACAAAAAAATCAGGTAATTTTTTTTGTGCCCTAAAATTAACCAATTTTGCAGTAATATTATGGGACATAAAAAATTGGAACTACCACTATTTTATTCTCTAGGGTCTCTGCTTTCAGAAAATATATGTTTGGGGCTTTTATGTAATCTTCAGGCCTAAATTATATTTTAAACTTGTGCAAAAAATGCAAAAACGGCTCTGGCAGCAAAAGGAATAAAGGATAAGCCTTGACCCACCTTGGTCGATTGGGCAACCAATTTGTGCTCATTACATTGCAAGGGCTCTCCCCTTCCTGCTAGTCCTCGGGTGCAGTGCTAGAGAGAGGCAGGGAGGGAGGAGGAGATAAACAGTACAATGTTAAAAATATTAAATGTTTTAAGTTGCCATAAAGCCCCTTTTTGTTTTTAAAAGCTTCAAACTCCTAATATCACCTCCGATTTAAATAGTTTTGTTTAAAATGTATTTATTTTTTTATCTGGACAAGTAGCTTGTCATGGGGGACAAGTAGATTGGGGCACCGATGTAGTCCCTGGACAAGTAGTTTTTTCAAAAATTTCCACACCCCTGAGGGGTGTCCCAATACTTTTGACAATATAATGTATATGTACAAAGCAGAGTGGAGAAAATGTGTTCCTGTATAGAATTCGTGAATCCTGAAGCCCCCGGGCCACTTATAGCTGTTTGGTGTTTGTAATATAGATGAGAACCTCAAGAGTCACAGTAGTGATTTGTAAAGAGGAGATTAAAGCAGAGCTCCAGTCTCCGGTGAAAAAGAAATAAAAGTCAACAGCTACAAAAACTAGCTGCTGACTTTTAAAAAAAAACAGCCTCTCACCTGTCCTGCGATCCAGCTGGGTTCACTGGCCATCCTGGGTACCTGGCACCGGACATATTAAATGTGAGCACCCGGCTGTGACAGCTAGTGGCTTCACAGCTGGGTGTCCACTGCGAATGCAGCGCTGCGCCACGTGAATGGTCCCACAGTCTTCTGGGACTTGTCACATGCCCTAGAAGACTACGGGAAGAAGGGGGGGGGGGAACAACTTCCTCTTCCAATCGCCTAGGCAATCACATGAGAGTGGGTATCTTCCCCCAATTCTCCAAAAGTACCAAAACTTAATGGGGAGCAGGGGAGGAGGCCTTAAAGTGGAACATCCCCTTTTGCATGGAGCTCCCGCTTTAATAGCAGTGATTATTATTTTTATACAGTATTTATAAAGCGCCAATGGTTCGCTCAGCGCTGTACATTACAAAGGGGGACAGAACATGTGACAGAACAATACCAATACAATGCAAAACATGAGGGGATCGAGGGCCCTGCTCTTTCGAGCTTACAATCTAGGAAAGGAAAGGTGATCTCTAGCAGTCTCTTGTAACATGTCCCCAGTTGATGATGACCTGCTACTGCATTAGTCCATTCTTCAGCCACTTCTGTAGCACAGTCTCTGATCATTTCTTCTAGTCCGTCTGCAGTAGCATTACATGTGATAAGTTCTGATTCGCATATATGCAAATTGTATGCGTTTTGAATAGTGGTGCATCGAAATGAAAATTCTGGTGCCGAAAATGTAAATTGAACTTGGCCAAAAACCGAAACCGAAATGCGCAGTTTTTAAAAATGAATATATATTTTTTTGAAAAAATACACTGATTAAAAAAAACAATATGTACTCCAATTTTTTTGTAAAATATGAAAGCGGATGTTAAGGCGAGTAAATAGATGCCCAACATGTCACGCTTTAAAATTGCGCACACTTGTGGAATGGTGTGAAACTGCATTACTTAAAAATCTCCATGGGTGATGCTTTAAAAATTTCTACAGGTTAGCAGTATAACGTTACAGAAGAGGTCTAGTTCGAAAATTATTGCCCTTCATCTGACGGTTGTGGTGATACCTCATGTGTGCGGTTTGAACAGCGTTTACATATGTGGGCATGGCCTATGTATGGGTTCACCACTACGTGCGAGCACAGGGGGACGGGGGCACTTTAAACATTTTTTTTTTTTTTTTTTTTTTTTTTTTTATGGGGTTTTTTTTTTTTTTTTTGCACTGTCCCTTTAAAAAAAAATTTTAATCACTTTTATTCTTATCACAAGGAAAGTATGCATCCCTTGCGATAGAAATAATTAGTGACAGGTCCTCTTTATGGAGAGATATGAGGTCAATAAGACCCCACATCTCTCCTCTGCAATGTAAAGCATTAGATAAAAGAAAAACATTGATCTAGTGTTTAAATTAAAAACAAAATGGCCGGAACAGGAAGTGACATCGCTCAGGTCCTCCAAGGGCTTAGAGATGAGTGACAGCCATCTTTCCTTCACTCATCTCTATGCCCAGCGCCGGGATCGATGGTTTCTCAGGTAAGGCTGAGAACTACCAAGCGGCGGAGGTGGCCGGTGGCGAGGGAAGGGGTTTTTCGGCACCTGTATCGGTGCTATTTTTTTTTTTTTTATTATTTCGGCCAACGGCTGAAAGAGGTGTGTTTGGACGAAACGTTTCAGCCACCGAAATTTCGGTGCATCCCTAGTTTTGAACCACTTCCGATTTGCTTGACATGTGAACCAAAGCGGCTTTCATATGTGCAGGCCAGCCGCAGTACAATTTTAAAAAAAAAAACTGATTTTCAGTCTGGTTCAGATTCAAAGTGTCATACACTTTAAAAATTCGCATCTGGACTGCTGAACGAAACCACACCGGGCTTCTTTGAAAAATCACGGTGAACCACTGGTTTATATTCACTCTTCCCACCACTCATTTATTGTTGTAAAGGCTGAAGGTTTTTTTCTATGCATGACAGTGAAAAAACCTTCCGTGTACAGGTCCCCCCCGCAGCCTCCCCTGCTAATACTTACTTGAGCCCGATCCAGTGATGTGCACAAGAGCAGCGGCTCTCCTGTGTTTCTCTCTCTTCATTGGCTGAGACGCAGCAGCAGGAACCATTGTCTCCTGTTGCGGTTAATCACAGCCAGTGAGGAGGAAGTGGGGGGGGGGGGCAGGACTGAGCCATGTTCTTTGTGTCCCATAGACACAGAGGTGGCTCGGGAGCGAGCATGCACAAGTGCCCCCAGAGAAAGCAGTTTGGTCTGAAGGCACTCAGCAAGGGGGAGGAGCCAGAAGTGCTAGCAGGGGACCTGAGAAGAGGAGGTTGAGCTGCTCTGTGCAAAACTATTGCACAGAGCAACTAAGTATGACGTCTATTATTTAAAAAAAAAAAAAACAATCCTTTGAAACCACTTGAAATCTTCACCATCTTTCTGAGCAAACTTGCTGGTCAGATGCCTAGACCACCAACTGGTGGCCACTTGGTGCTAGCCCTAGGCAAATTACAACAATATTAAACCCACAATCAAAAATGTAATTGTATTGCAGCTTACGAATCATTAGATGTGGTGGCTGCATTAGTTTTCTCTTCTTTGGCTTTTTTCCCCCTCTGGTTTCACCTGGTGATCGACCAGTAACACACCTTAATTATTAGTGAGACACCATTCTGGAGGAAGGAGCACAAGACCCAGCACACAGCAGCACTGTCAGTCTTGGAAGGGAAGGGGAGTGTTAAATATATTAGCAGATTTAAAACCCTGACAAACTGAAGCCAAACTCCAGCTCACGCTTTATAATCAGTTATAGCAGTTTTTTTTTTGTTTTTTTTCCTTTTGAGATAAGGATTTTACATGAATGAATGCTCGTTGCAAGCACCCGTTATTGGTAAATGGTTTGTCCCAACATTCTACATGCTACATTTACATGTAGGCTTGTTCTGTTGAAAAACAGACTTACTGGTTGGACCACCAGATGAATATAAAGGAAAGAAAGCTTAAAAGAGAAAACAAATGCAGCCATCACATCTAAGAATTAGTAAGCTGCTACATATTAAATGTTTACATTTGGGTTAAATACCGCTTTAAGCTGGCCATACATGGCTCTTTTTTTTTTTTTTTTTTTTTTTTCACTGGCACTGAACCAATTCTCCCATCCACACATTCGAGGTGAATGTGCAGTATTGTATTATGACAGTGGGGAGAATACACAGATCACCGCTGCAGCCACTGACCAGGCAGCTTTTATTGGGCAGGGTGGTTAAACAAAAGTTGATTGATTTCTGTTCCAATGCAAGGGCCAGACATGAATCGAACTTTGTCTAGTCAAATTTTGATCAGCTTAGTTTGGTAGTGGTCTAGAAGCCGACAGGGGACCAGGCATCTCTTACATTTGGTGGTCTGGAGGATGTTGAAGGTTCTGACAGAGGCTCTGCTATGCACGAAAAAATGTGTAAATTAAAATAGTCCCTCCGCATGTCCCGACAATGTCATGAGATGATAGAAATAGCATTTGCATTCACTGTGAAACCTTTGAAAAATAGTTGTGCTAATTTTTTTCCTTGTCTAACAATTTATGTAAACCTTTTTTTTTTTTTTTTCACTGCATTTATCACAATGTAGAACTGTAAAGCTTTCCTAAAGTAGAACAAATTAAGTTTCATTTTGAGCTTCACCATTCTGCTTTATTGCATGTCACCCTAATGTGAAATTTTAATAAGCAGACTTTGTTGATGTTTTGCAGTAAATACACATGGTAGGCAAATTATATGAATGCTTTGTTGTGATTACTACAGGAAAATACATTTTTCCAAGCTTTTTACGATTTTCTCCCAAAAAAAAAAAAAAACAAGGAAAAGAAACGCCCAAATTGAAACCCTGTCTGTCTTGGGGAAAAAAAGTTGCTCTGGCACTCAGAGTTTTAGGGGGGACAAAAAGGTCTGCAAATGGTTGATAAATTAGTACTGCAACAGTTCAGACCATATGATACTGAAGGCTTTACTTATGTGCGTAATATTATTTACTATGCTTTTACAGGGCTGGCAGGATGGCAAGGGGACAGCAGAAGATACAATCCCAACAAAAGAATGCCAAGAAGCAAGCTGAAAAGAAGAAACATGGGAATGATCAGAAGGCTGCCGCAAAGGCAGCTTTAGTCTTCACATGTCCTGTGTGCAGGGTAATATATATTTCCCCGAACATCTTCCTGTACAGCAACATGAGAAATGATTGGGTCCTCCCTCTGCAGGAATCACAAGCAGAATAGTGAAGAACCCCTCCCACAGTCCCTCAGTTTGAATTGTGTTTCCTGCCATCCAGGAGCCGCCAAACCGTTTGGCCAGCAGTCCCCATCTTGGTGTAGATCTGCGGTACCTTTATGCCTTCCCTGAGGGTAGCCGCCTTTTTTCAGCATCATGCCCCTGCTTTTTTTTTTGAGGGATTAAATCCCAAAGCCCCAGGCATTATTGCCATGTAGCCGTCCTCCCCAGTCTGGGGACATGCAAGTGCCAAGCTTTGGTGTGTTCTGAGTGGTTTTTTTTCCCTGCCAGTAAGTGGCCAGGAGACTTGCCGAGCATTTTATTGTACAAAACAAAAGTGAGATCCTACGTCATCACTTCCAGTCCTGGATGAGGTATTTCTGGCCTCTGTGGAACACTTGCTTGGCACAGCATGGAGAGAGGGCAGCCAATCCCAGCCATGGACCCTAGGGAGGCTGACGAAGGCAAACCACCACTGAATATTGTGGCCAAAAGAAAAACTGGGCATATTGTGTAAGCACTGAGGTAAATGCAGTGAGAAAATGTTTGCATCTGGCATGAAGCCTTTTTGTAACTATTGTGATTGGAAGCTGATGGCATACTTTAACCCCTTCACGCCTACGGGTAAAACAAATCTAAATGCCTAAGCACATTTTTGCAACGTTGACAGGTGTTAGTAAAACCGTACATATCACAACTACTTTGTACATCCCGGTGGATTATACCGCGTTTTTTTCAGGACAAATTGGGCTTTCATTTGGTGGTAAATGGTAAAGGATATCTCCTGATTTTTTTTTTTTTTTATTATCAAAGGAGAACTGGCCCAAAATAGTAAAAAAAAAATCTTTTGTTTTTATTTAGCTGTGTGTTTTTTGTTACTACCATAACCTAACACCAAAGAACAATCCAAAATAAATTCTCCAGCTCTTGACAATCGCAGCGATACCATATATACCCATACTACAGCCCAGAAACAATAGTGCACATTTTGATTGTGTTTTTTTTTTTTTTTTTTTTTCCTAAAACACACTGACACCAAATTTTTTTTTTTTTTTTTTTTTTTTTTTTTTTAAATCTTGACCTTGACCAAGCACTAACCCTGGTACTGAACTAGATCAAACCTTGATCTAGGTATTTTTATTTTTTAATATTTATCTTTTTATTTTTTTTTTTAACAAATTTCTTTTTTTCCCCTCTATGCCAGGAGTTAGAGAGATACAATGTATCTCTCTCCTCCATTCACAGAGAGAAAAAAAGGGGGTCGGGCTGTACAGTGACTGATCACTGTGATAGCCAAACAGAGGCTATCACAGCGATCATGTGACCTGGAATCAGGAGTCCTGTGTCCCGATCGTTAGAACGGGATCCGGTGCTCTCAGTGACACCGTGGTCTTTGTGCTGGGAGTGTACCGTGCGACGTGCTCCCAGCACAAAGACAGGTACGCAAATATGCGGCCCCATGGAAAAAAGCCCAGTTTCTGTGAGGCCGCATATTTGTTACGTCGGTGTCAAGGGGTTAATGAAAGATTTTGTTTAAACTATGAGGATGGAGATGGTATTTACCCTCCGGTTTTTAGAGCATTAGTTGCTCAGAAAGAGGAAGCAAATGGAAAGTTTTCCTCCTGAGGGTTTAAAGGATAAGTTCACCTTTTGCACCATGTTACACCTATATTTACAGTGCAACTTGGTCCAAATGCTTCCTGTGCCAGCCCCAATCAGCTCCTCACCGTGTGACAGCGGCCAGTGTTTCTTTTCCCCTGCATCTGCTGTTTGGGCACCACTCACACAGCCGTGTCATTCATTCACAGGGATCTGTTAATGAATACTACAGGTCCTATCTGACACTGCGGCAGAAGGACCTAATTCTCAGTGGATTAAGAGTATGGTAATCAGCACACTTATAGGCCTGGTTTACACTAATGCTTTTTGTAGGAACTCACTACAGTCCACTTAACATGGTTTCCTATGGGACATGTTCACATCTATGCATTTTTGAGCTGCTGCATTTTTGGAAAGGGCCAGGGACTTTTTTTTTTTTTGCTACTACAATACAGTTCAATGGACACACTGCTGAAATGCAAGTAGTGCATTTTTGCTGCATTCTGCGTTTTTATTCTGCCCAGTAAAAAAACATTTCCACTTTAACGAAAACAAAAGGCTTGGTAAAAATGCGCATGCAAAAACACACTGCAAAATGGACAAAAAGCGCAATGCACAGGTGTGAACCAGGCTATAGTCCATTTAATCTTCTTCCAGCCCTGTAACTGACAGCCTGTGCAGAGGTTTGGGCAGAGAGTTGGAAGAGTTTACTGGAGCCTGACATCATGATCAACTTATCATGGGTGCAATGCATTGCAGGCTCCTGTTTAACCACTTGTCGACCACGCTATAGCCAAAAGACGGCTACTGCACGGTCGGCTAGTTCTGGGAGGGCGTCCACCCAGAACCACTCCCCCACCTTCCCACGCACCCTCATGGGGCACGCTTCGGGCATAATCTGTGATCCTTTGGACACAGCTGATCACAGATCGTGGTAAATGGCCAATAAGAGTGGCCCTTTGTTATGTGATCACCTGTGTCCAATCACAACTGATCACACTGTAAACAGGAAATGCTGGTTGTCGGCAGTCCTCGCCTCACATTGACAGCGCATGAGGAGAGCCTGTAAGTGATCTAAAGAGAGGACATCTACACTGATAATCAGTGCTGCCCCATCGGTGCCACTTTTCGGTGTTCGTCAGTGCTGGTTGAGTGCCCGTCAGTGCTTGCTATCAGTGATGAATGTTAGTGCCTCTTAATAAGTGCTGCCTCATCAGTGCCCATCAGTTCAGCCTTATCAGCGCACATCTGTGAAGGAAAAAAAATCACTTCCTTACAAAACCTTATAACAGAATCTAAGAAACGTTTTTTTGTTTTCTCTAAAATTTTCAGTCTTTTTTCATTTGTTTAGCAAAAAATTAAAAACCCCAGTGGTGATTAAATGCCACCAAAAGAAAGCTCTTTTTCTCAAACAAACAACAATTTTGTTTGGGTACAGTTTTGCATAACCACGCAATTGCCATTTAAAGTGTGACTGCTCTGAAAGCTGAAAATTGGACTGGTCAGGCTGGGGGTGAAAGTGCCCAGTTGGCAAGTGGTTACAAAAAAATGCTAATTTTTTTTCTGTGTAAAACAGGAAAAAAAAGTCTGATTTCTCCCCCCCCCCCCCCTCCCCAAAGGCAGGGAGTTTCAGGCCACTTTCAAACGGGGCGGATCTGTTTGCTCAGCGGGGGGGATTTCTTTGCTGATCCCCGCTGAGCAAGTGAATGAAAGGTCTGTGTTCGCTCTGCTACTGCACAGTGGACACAAACACAGCCTGCTGTCTTCTATGGGATGGTCGGATGGAAATGGATCGCCTGTCTGTTTCCACCCGACTGTCATCCGATCCACCGGATGGATGGGGAATGGATCCCCATTCATCTGTTTTTAGTGTACAGGATCGGATTGGTTAATGGAAGTTGTCAGCAGACGCATGACTGCTGACACCAGCCGCTCTATAGAGAGCTATGGATGGTCCTATTGGGTCCCCCTGAAAAACTGACTGGCCTTACACAAAGTGGTTTGTAAATATGACAAACTGGCTGCTAGCGAAAAGGCAGCTGTGCACTCACACAGTCGCTTCCACACACTCCCGTAACTGCCAGTCGCCCCACCAGCCCACTCCTGCCATGTTTCTCAGGCTCCACGTACCCATCAGCGTACCCAGGACCAGCATGAGGGATGTTGGCGGGTAAAGGGGAGGTGGATCAGCGAACCTCCTTTCACTGATGTCTCCTTCCTGCTAATGACGTATAAAGCATCACTTTTAGGATCTGGTGTTACTTTCAGTAAGAGAACCTGTCACCAAAACCCAAAGTCATCACATAGAGGACGTTTTGTCTCTGATGTGATGAAAAATGTTGAGTGCAATACACGTTGCATATCGCCACGTATGGCGGAGTGAGGGTAATACAAGGCCATTATTCACGATTAACTCTAAACTGATGACCTGACTTTTAAAGCATCACCTCAAGAAAATTTAGGGTATCTGAAGTTTGTGCCATGTTGGGGGTACATGCAATTATAAGCTTTGACATTTTGTGTATCTATTTACTTGGCACAACCTAATATTTTGTATTATTGTAACAAAAAATGGGTAATATATTGCCCTACTATTTTCAGTTTATTTTTTACAGAAATTTTACATTTCATAAACCGTTGTGCTAATGTCATGTGAAATAAAATAAATAGGACTACTACTATTTTATTCTCTAGGGCTTTTGCCTTAAGAAAATGTTTGTTTTTAACTTATCTTTAAGCCTAAAATGATTTTTAGAATGCAGAAACGGCTCTGGCAGTGAAAGGGTTAATGGAGGAATGAGAGGCTAAAGGCACTAATCATGATGTAGAAGAGGCTATATTTATTCGCTTTGGATGAGATGGAACATTTGTTACAAGCCTTATAACAGAACATATCCCAGACCCTCCTCAGGTTATTTTGGGGCAGGATAGAGTGTACAGAGTTCTGAAGGACAGCAGGGAATATTGTTTTTTTTTTCTTTTTCATCAACCTCTTAAATATCCTATTCTAAGTGAATGGAAAGGGCCAGAGAAGATAATTCACTTTAGGTCTTGGAAAAGATTATCTTTAATAAATTAGATGTTGTATTGTTGCAGGTCTCTAAGAATGTAAGTATTCAATGGACACAAAGCTGATGTGCTGCTGAGAGTGGCCTAGGATGCTAACACTTCTGTAATGGCCACTGCCTTGGGTGGACTTGCATTACCAGAAATGTAGATGGATTGTGTATCACAGCATGTTTCCCAAACTGCTCCAGCTGAACAGATTCTTAATTTTTCTGTCAGTCGAAAATGCAGTTGTTTTCTTGGTTGATGTGGCAGT